ATATATCTCAAAAATATATATATATATATATATATATATATATATAGCCTTTATACCTTTTTCTCCTTTTCCAATAATAGAAGCACTCATCCTTAACAACACGTTCAGCCCCCACTCTTTCTGCCGTTGCTTATCTAATTCAAAAAAGCTCTCGAAGCTTGAAGATTTTCCAGTCATTAATTCTCCAAAAGTCCACTCTTCAATTTTAGCAATCAAATCCTTTGATTTTCAGACCTCAAGCAAAACAACCAAACTTTCCTTACGGGACTGACCTATTTGCTGTGCCAGCCAAGTTTACAACCAATTTACAGCCAATTTGCCAAAAATAATTTTCAAACAATTTGCCCAAAAATAAGCCAACACAAAAATGCACTAACAATCTCCCCCTTTGGCTATTTTTGGCAAAACTAACATTACTAACAAAAAGAACCTATTACAAGATAAAAGATAAAATCCAACTAAGGGGGTTATTTGAATTAAGAGTTCTCCCCCTTTTTGACAAAATACAGCCAAAGTTAAAAATAATACTAATAAAAAAACCTTTTAGAAGCTGTTGCTCCCCCTGAGTCCTCTACGAGTCTTACTCCCCCTGAATGTAACACTCTCTTAAACTTGATATTATCACTTGTCAAATGCTTGGACCAGCCACCATTACTACACACACAACCATTAGTACATGCTTCTAAAGAAGTATAAGTCCTATGACACCTTAAATTAGATTTCCTTACCCAAACACGTCTAGGAAATTTATTTTGCACATCAATCCTTACTTTAGGTGTCCTTCTTGAGTTTGCGGAATTTGGTGGATTCATGAGCATACCTCTCTTCAAAGCATTCAAATACTTGTAGCATCTTGGTCTTATATGGCCAGTTAAACCGCAATAATGACATATGGGAACAAACTTTTTACGTCGCGGGGGTGAGATAATACCTTTCTTAGTGGGGATAATTTGAGGCTTAGGTGCGGGTGTCTCCTTCACAAATACTGTCTTGGACGTTGAGCATTCACTAGTATAACCAATTCCATGACGATCACAACTAGCTTTTCCCATAGAGAGAATATGATCCAATTTGGTGGTGCCGGAATTCATCATCTTCAAATTTTTCTGAGTGCTCTCTAGTTCAGCCCTTGTGTCCTGCAACTTTTTCTCATTTTCAGTAGCTTGAAATTCATAGTTAACGGCAGCCCTCTTAAGCACATCATTCTCTTTAACAAGCTCATCAACTCGCTCCCGTAGAGACTTATTCATTGTACACACTTTAACCCATTTACTGAACATGGTCTTATAGGATTCTTGTATGGCATCAATAGTCAACTCCTCACCATCACTGTTACTTTCATAATCTAAAAAATCTCCTCTGTTTTCACTGTTCACAGAATCTGTTACAGGCAGTATTGCAACACTGTCTGCGACACCTTTTGTAACACTGTCTGCAGAAACACTTTGATCAGTATAAACATTGAAAGCAACATAATTACTCACATGGTCTTCATTATCCGGACTGCCTTCAGAGTCTTCATCACTCCACGTCGCATTCAGAGACTTCTTCTTCTTCTTTAGAGTGTTGACACACTCAGATTGAATGTGGCCGTAACCGTCGTATTCCCGGCATTGAATACCCCTGTTTTTTATCTTCTTCACTGTATTATTTGCTGCAGCTTTATTCTTCGGGAAATGGTTTAAGTTTCCAAAGTTTGGCCTTTTTTTCTTCTTGTTGAAATTCTTAGTGCCATCAAGTAGTGGAGAGTGTGAAACCAAACCACCTTCTTTCAGAAAATCCATCCCTGTTACAATACCAACTCCCAAAATCTCACCAAGCAAACGTTTAGTGAACTGCTCTGATACCAATTGTTAGGTCCATTTTTTTCCTGGTGTCACAAGTGGTGTTGCAACACTTTACTGTAACGCTATTTTGTGACAGAGAATCTGAAATTAAACCAGCAAGGCAAAATGCAGAAAAATAATGCAGGAATGTAAAGAACACCAGAAAAATGATATCGCAGTTCGGTACGCACACCTACTCTGCGGGGCCACGCCCAGACAATGAACAATCCACTAAGTTCAAAGAGATTACAAACACCAATCGGACTTATACACCCAAAGACTCCCTCCTTGACATTGTTGCCACCGTATCGAATCTTTTTAATGGCCTTATCCAGCGAGCACCACTCGTCTTCAAAACTACAAGGCGAAATCCCTTCGGCTAGCAGTGCGCTTTCTCCTGAAAGCTTCTAATCCTTCTCCCGAAGGACGATCTTCAATCAACACATAAAGACTCACTCTCTCATAGACTTTTTCTGAATATTTCTTCTATAAAAACTATGCCCCAAATGTCTCCTTTAATTTCTAAAAGCTCAAAGACATAAAAAATAATTTCTCTTCCTTCCGAGGCACACAACTTCACGTACACACATGCAATATATATATAACAATAATTCACGTGTAATACAGGGCAAGCACCAATTCAATGCCTTTTCAAATCAATCCGATAGCCAATTTCAAATCCTTCTTAAAGGGCTAGATTTAGTTTGCACACATATATTACCTTATAAAGCACATACCCTCACATAAAAGCATAGGCCACTCTCACTCTTATTCTCCACGTTAACCCACATATATCACCAATATATATATATATATATATATATATAGCCTTTGTACCTTTTTCTCATTTTCCAATAATAGAAGCATTCATCCTTAACAACACGTTCAGCCCCCACTCTTTCTGCCATTGCTTATCTAATTTAAAAAAGCTCTCGAAGCTTGAAGATTTTCCAGCCATTAATTCTCCAAAAGTCCACTCTTCAATTTCAACAATCAAATTCTTTGATTTTCAGACCTCAAGCAAAACAATTAAACTTTCCTTACGGGACTGACCTATTTGCTGTGCCAGCCAAGTTTACAATCAATTTACAGCCAATTTACCAAAAATAATTTTCAAACAATTTACCCAAAAATAAGCCAACACAAAAATGCACTAACACTTCAAAATATTATACTTTGGAAATGGAAAAAGTAAAGCATGTAAGATCAGTAAGGACCCCATTGTTAAGGAACAATAACAAAATTCATCTACATTCTCGACCTTACATTTCAAGATATATATAAATATATATTATACACATATATGTATTAATAAGATTTATTATTATTCGTGAAAACATCAATGTTTCGTAATGTTGATGATTTTGGAGCCCACCGGTGCTATAAAACTGCTGATCAATCTAAAACAAAATCTTTCGTAAATTATAAAGTAAAAGTTAAGTTTGAAATTATAGCATAGTGATTAGTAAATTATAACATATTTTTAGTAAACAAAATCTTTCGTAAACAAAATCTTTCGTATAGTGATAAGTAAATTATAGCATATTTTTAAAAATTAATAGATTATAACATAATTTGAAATTTAAGTTTTAAACATTATTAGAAACTCAAGAATACCCCTGAACTTCATTTTCCATCTTACTTCTCCTACTAAATATCTATTTTTTGAAAAACAATAAATTATAGCATATTTTTTTAATATAGGTAGATTATAGTCAAATCTACTATGGTCAAAACTGACGACTAGCGGCCGGCTCCAACAACCGGCTTTAGTAACCGGTGACTATTTTTTTGGCAACCGTTTAATATTGTATTTACAGGTAAATATCATATTTACCTGAAATCTAGTGACCATTTTTTCAGCTACCATTTGACATTGTATTTTTTGATAAATACCGTATTACCAGTAATACCGTATTTACTAATAAATATCATATTTATCCGAAAATCTAGCAACCAACTCCGGCGATCATTTAACACTATATTTATCGATAAATATCGTATTTACTAGTAAATACCGTATTTACTAATAAATACCGTATTTACTAGTAAATATCATATTTATTAAAAAATATGGGCACTGACTCTAACGATTATTTAACATTGTTGACCAGTAAATACCGTATTTACCAATAAATACCGTATTATCTAGTAAATATTATATTTATCTAAAAATTTAATCATCGACTACGGTGACCGTTTAACACTATATTTATCAATAAATACTGTATTTATTGATAAATAAAGTATTTACCAGATTCTAAATTATAAACTATTAAAGTATTTACCAATAAGTATAATATTTACCAAATTTCAAATTATAAAATACTAAAATATTTACTAGTAAATATAATATTTATCATATTCAATTTTGTAACTAAATTAAGTATTTACTGATACATATAATATTTACTAAATTTCAAATTATAACTATTAAAATATTTATAAATAAATACAATATGTATAATATTTAAAATTATATTTAATAAAGTCTTGTTTATTTCACCGATTCGAGTTTTCAGTTCTAAATTTTTACAGTTAAAAATTCTCAAAAAATGTCACATTTAACTTTTTTACTACAATAAAAAACTCTTAAAAGATATCCCATCTCAACTCAAATTTAAAAAAATCACAAACAAATCTCAACAGAACTAAAAGACATAGTGCAAAATCGAAGCTCAGTAAATAAACAATATTTTTGCAAATTAGTTACAATCTCAAAAATGCTTTGCAATCAAAGAGAAAAATGAGGCTTTCATTGCAGGATCTGTAACGGAGTCTATGTCCACACTCCCTTCATATGTATAATGGTAGAAAACATTCACAGCTTCCTCCGCCTCCTACCATTATCCAGGAAAATTGCAAAATTTGAAACAAAACAAAACAGAAACAAAATGGACTGTAAATAACAGATGGAAGATAAGAGTTAAAAGTGAAAATGTATTCCCATAATTTTCACGCCAAGAGTCAGATCAAACCACACAAAAAAATGGCAGGTGAAGCAGATCAACGAGAATCATTGAACCAGATAGGCGACGTTCCAGCAACTGGAACTCGATCTCTATGACACGAAGCATGCGATCTGAACCAGATCATCGAATCGAAGTCCGATGAGATTGGTTGCACCAGATCGGCGACGGCCCGATCTCTGCAACTCCTTCCCATCCCAGACGGAAGACTCTGGCATGATTCACGATCTGTGGCGGCCGGAGAGCTTCGACTTCTGGCCGTCGTCGGATAGCTTCGAAGAGAGAGAAGAGAGAGAGAACCGACGACGACAGATCTCAAACGGCGACAACAGATCTCGGAACGACGACAAAAGCGACGAGTTGTCCTTGAAGAGAGAGAGACGGAGAGAGAGATCGTGGAGGGGGAAGAGAGAGAAAGACCGTAGAGGAAGAGAGAGACGAAAATTGGGAGGAGAGAGACAACAAAAAACCCTTCGGTATATTTGGAAAACTATACTGTACAATAAATTAAAATATGCTATAATTTACCATGTTTTAAAGAATATGATGTTTACATCAAAAGAATGTGGGCTAATTCCCTTTTGCCATATATAATAATATTAAAAAATGGACAGAAGCATATAATATTATGCCGAAAGATAAGAGAAAAAAGATAAGAATATTTTCAAATTGAGCATTCAAAATTTTATATTTTTTTTCTTCTTTGTTATACACCCCACGTTGTTCATGCTTAGTGTGAGAATCAAAAGAGATTTAAGGAAGACAATGATTTTGGTGGGAATTTTGGAATAAAATGTGCAATGTCCTACTCTCCTTTTAGTTATGTAGATATGTATTTTCTAAACATTCAAAGCCTTTTAAAATCGTCTTGCTCGCTTTTCTCTAGACTAGTATTGATCGAAATCTTATTTTATAACAGAAATCTTTTTTTTCTTTCTAAATTATGACAGAAATCCAATTGATCATACTGCATTTCTCAATTAATATAAAGGCCCTTCTTCGATAGATTGTCCTATTAATAGGATCAGTTTTTAATCTTTATATTTGAACAAAATCACATTAGATTAAAAAAAAACTTTTTAATACAGATCTGACGGTTAAAAAGTAGAGAATTATTGGTATTTTTTTTTCAGTCTTACTACAGAAATTCCTTTGATATAATCGTATCTAAAGGAAAAAAAAAAAAAAAGGGACAAGGTAAGCAAATTAATGGAATCTTTAAAATAAAAAAAAAAGTTAACGATTTTGAACTGTATAATAATTGTAAGGTTTTTTTTTATTATTCTTTCATATAATTTTCTACTTTTCAAAGAATCTTTTTAAAAACTGTTATGCAAAATCTATATTAGGACTCGTTTGGTGGTGCGCAAATTAAGAAGGCTAGTTAGGATTAAATCTTGATCTTGTGACAGTGAATGTTTTTAATGGACTAAACTGGATAAACTTTTATCCAGTCCATACTCAAATCCCTTTAGAAGGGGATGCGGCTATCCCCTGTATAAGCATGGGATTAAACACAATAAACTTTTAACTATAGCACATTGTGAAAAACATTATGGACTTATTCGTAATTTTTTTATAAAATTTAGGATCTAATTATAATTTTTCAATAATTAAGGGATTAAATTATATTTTTTATGAGATCTAAATATTGTTAAAGAAAACTACAATTTGACCCTGAATTATTTTTAAAAATACCCATATCCTAATAACGCAATGCCAAACATAAATTAATTAAATTGAACTAAAATTTAAAATATTCTTTCTTGCACTCCAATCCAATCCCCTAAGACTATTCTATTCAATATTGTCCTATTTTGCGCACCAAACAGCACTCACAAACTCAACAAACAAAAAGAATATCACACAGACTATTTAATTATCTTTCTCAATGCTAGAGAAGAACATATCTCCCATCAATATATATATATATATATATATATATATTCCCATGGGAAGTTAGTATCCCTTTAAATTCTTCAAAATTTC